GTTATAATACTTTAATTCTAAAATTTAGTGTAAAATTTGACCCTATTTAAGAAAAATCAATTTAAGTCATCTGTTCTTATTTCGCCTAGTTTTAACCGAAAATTAGGATCAACTTTTAATTTTGTTCTGAATTTACTTTTTAAATATGACATGGAAGAAAATCCTTGTTCACACAAATAAGTTGGGCAAAAAGGCAATAAAAATTTAATAACTTTATTTGAAATGCTTTTAAACTCTTTTTCTCGGTGAAGCCAAAAATTTGCAAGTGTATTATTTTTGAAATAAAACTCCAGTTAGAGTACGATCATGGGAAATTTTTATCAATTGTTCTTTATCTTTATCTTCAAAACAGTAAATTTGGTTTTAAGTCCTGCATTTTTTTGAGAAATAACACCTGAATATTTCCCTGTTAAAGCCCGAGCTCCGTCACTGCATACAGCAATGCACTTATTCCAAGCAATATTTGATCAAAATTTGTCAATTACATTGAAAATTTAATTAGCAGTTGTTCTATCATGAAGAGTTGCACAAAATACTCTTCAAATGCACTTCGGCAAATCATTTATCTTCTTCGAAAGATATATATCAGTGAACAAAGTTCGTTATAAAAGTATTTTCATCTAATTGCAAGGCGAAATACTTACTGTGTTTTATTTTTTGAATAAGTGTCTCTTTTGTGATATTTTTCATTTTATGAGTTCGCCCACTTGATAACATATTATTATTAAGTTCATTAGCCGCTTTTTCATTAAATAATATTAAAACGATATCTTTAGCTACTGGTAAGATAAGGTTTTCTTCAATAGTGTGAGCCTGCCCAGTTTTGACAATTCTTAGGCTTACTAGGTAACTAGCTTCCAAATGTTTTTTCACTTGAAGCAACAAAACCTTTCATTACTTGTTTACTATTTTTGAACTCTGATAACTTCTTATTAAAGTATTCTTCAGATTTATCCTTTAAATCGGCATGTTTAGATTCAGGATATCTTCTTTAAATAGGCGTGCTTAGATGTTAAGAAACGATAGTTTCGTACTTTGATTGGATAATAGTTCACCGCAAACAGCACATTGAGGTTGAGGGTCCATTTCATCTTCATTTCAATAAAACACACATGATAAAATAACTTTCATTATATTTTTTTATAAACAATTTTCTTTTCTTTTCAATATTCTTAGTGCTAGTAAATTGCTCTATATCCATCACATCTGAATTGTCACTTTTCCGTTTAGTCAATCCTAGCAATTTTTCCATTTTGAAAATCTAGCTTTGTTTTATTACTTTTTCACAAATATTTAAATGCCCAATATATTACCGGTTCCTCAAAAACAAACGACGATAGTCCCAAACCACGTAGAAAAGTACGGAATACAAAGCAATAAGAAGAAAACATACCTGCCTTTTGAGACAGCAAATTGACGTAGAAATGATTCTAATTGAAAATAGAGCAATATGAGGACAGAAATGGTGGCGACACAAAGTGTAGACATTCTAGTAAATCAATGAACTCTAAAAGCATTAATGAGATACTATTATCTTTTTTAGGAACTTATTTTTATTTTCTATTAAATACAACATCCATTTCTATTACTCCTTTTGGAAACATCATTTATGACAAATTTTTGTTATATCTGTGGCTAAAAGAATGTTTGTGAAAATATTTTGCTACTAAAGACCTTGAACAAAGCTAAGATCACATAAATTTACGAGTGTTATAGAAAAAAATCTTAACAGGATGCTGGAGTATTTAATGTTTGAATTTAAAAGTACTTTGTTCCTTTGCGTCCCACCTATTTTTCTCTTGCGTACCACCAGTGGTACGCTTACCACCGGTTGAAAACCGTTGGCTATTTCATGTTTTGTAAAACGTTAATGAATTTTTGATTAAAAAGCTCAACTATTTCAAAGCTAGCAATGAACTGTACGAATAAAAACAATTTTATCGCCAGCGCGCGAGACTGTACCGGGTATGTTGTTTTTAAATATTTTTAGCGCAAAGTCTCTCGGAACATGTATGTGTGTGTAAATAAAAAAAATCGCCCCTTTGAGAGTAATATAAAATCTGAAAGCTTTCAATTTTTTTTTTAATCAAGATACAGCCTTCGCTAGAGTTACTTTCTTTCCCGAACTTGAAGGTTTGAGATTAGGCTTGTTACATACTGTTGTAACATCACCAGTTTTCCGTGGCATTCCAGCATTTGCTGTTGCCCAGCCATTTATTATTAGATAACTTTTTTACCGGTAAATTAATTTCAATTTTCTGCTTCCTATTCAAAATTTTACAGCAATGAGGTCATGTAGGCAGAAAATAAACAACTTTTGTGCAAACATGAAATATTGAACAACGGTGCTATAATTGTTTGCTGTTAAACCTCCATTCTATAAATTCTTAATTCCTAATTCTATAAATTTATAGAATGATTAAAGCAATATACATGGCGCTTGGAATACAGTATTTAAGAGAGGCCTGTAATCCTAAGTATTTTTCTGATGCATTTGCTGCGTTGTCATTCGTTTGCCTTGAATAAAGTTTAATGTCAGTACCTAATTCTGCTAAAAGCGAACAATAACTGTTCAAAATATGTTGTTCAATAGGCATAAAGCCTAAAAACGTTTCGTTTACATCACCATTTAGCAATATGTACCTTTTAATTAATGCCAGTTGATCAATATGTGAAATCATAGGTTAATAGTCAAGTATAAAGCTGTAATAATTTGTGGATTTAGTTTCTTCTCTAATATATACTACTGAATATTTGTTAATGGTGATGAGTTTCTCACAAATATCATGCGAAAATAACTTACATTTCGTCGTTTTCGATTACGGTATTTTTCAAAATACAGTTCCAAAAAATTGTCATATTTACTGAGATATACCAAGCATATAAAAATATTCTTTCCCTTTTTAATGCTGACTTTCACTGTAAACTCTAAATTCTAGCCTCTGAATCTTAATTAACTTCATAATTTTATAGTTAACATAATTTTTTTCAATACTTCTTTCCAAAACTTTTCTTCGTGTTCTGCCTGTTGCAATAAATCAGAATTGATTCTGTTTAATGCTGAAATCTGTTATATAAAGTGAATGCTTAAAAATTTAAATGCAAAATTAAGGATAGGCCAAAATGTATTCACACGCATATAAAGAAAAAAAAATAATATTGAGTATACGTGTTCAGAAAAGATTGAATATATTTGTTCAAAGTCAGTTGTTGACATAGACTGATGCCTAGTGAGTATAGTGGTTAGTGATGCTGACTGCCGTATCGATGCACCCGGATTCGAAGCCCGGACATGGATGTTTGTAAGCGTATAGTGAGGTAAGGAGACACTCAAAATACATGACGAGCCGAAAGTACTCTGGATAGACTGCTAATAAGGCAAGAGAGGTGAGAGATCTTCGCACCGCCCCCCCCCGCGGAGAGTTCTTCCTTAAAACTGCGCAAAAGCTTAACAGTTAGCAAGGCCCGGGTGTATCTAATATATACGCAAATGCACATGCGCTGGCCTTTGTGTACAAGTTAGTAGTTAGATATGCAGAGTTTAGAGATACATGCTGTAACATTAATTACAGAATTGTTTTTGCTATTAAGCACACCTTTCAGAGAACCAGCAATTTTTATGAATACTTTTGAACTGATAAGCAAAATAGAACGAATCTTTAGTCTTGCTAATAATTAATTTTATTACTAAATTCAAGGACCGAAGGGAAAGCCTTGATTCTCATCATCCACGCCAAAACTGAAATTCATTTTTAACTGCGTAAATTAAGTAATATATACTTATCCTCTTGAAGAATGAGATCATACTAGGCTGAATACAAATGTTGTTTGTTTGGTTAATCAGTTATGAAAATGCATGCGAGGCTTTTCTGTCTAAGGGGGGATATCTTCATGGAGAAATTTGTAAAGAAAATTTCATTCGCATTCTAGACTGGAAAATCCACAAAAGCGCCCAAACAACCAACCTGCTGGCCATATATGAAAATTTGAACCTGAGTCAAATTATCAGCATTCAGTTATGTCACCCACTCTGCCGCTGGTGGGATCGAAGGTAAATAAATAAACGAAGAAAAAATGTGGATCAATAATTCTGAAGAAATAACCAAAATATTATTACTTTGCAGAAGAAATTTGTTTTCTAGCATATCCATTAAATAATATTCCGCTAGAGTAAATGAAATTAAAATTATGACTATTAGAAAGTAGAGCGAAACGGAAGATTTATAATACTGCATTACTAATATAATTTATTTTCATTGGGTCTAACAAGATGCATAAACTTATGAAATTTTTACATAATTAAGAAACTAAATATATTTCATTCAATTCGAATAACAGAGACACAGACATTTGCAGCTATAAAGTCTTTTTAAAAACATTTTCTAAATCTTTGTGAGATACTAAAATCCAAAGCAACAAAACCAAAAGTCATCACTTACATAGACTAAGATTCATCACTTACATAGACTAATAGTTACATGGAATAAAGTCGCAAAAATCATATTATTTCGTGGATTCTGCTATAACAACTGGAGTTCTCATTCATATTTAATTTTATAAAGATTTTCAAATATATTCTTCTTTTCGTGCAATGCATTTTTAACAAAAAGTTGTTAGCTATGTAGCCTACATTACAATCTGAAGGCAGAAGTTATGGCCCATAATCAAACATTTAATCAGAGGAAGTATGTATTCAATCTTTTAACGCTTGATGGAAGGAAATAAGTGGTTAAAAATGTCTGCACACGACTCGGCATATTGCGTGTCTTGGGTCTATCATCCCGAGGGGACTTAAGGAATTGGCATTTTCCTTCCTGCTGCCCTGAACGAATGGGGCGGAGGGGGGAATGAAAAGATCTCAGGAGGTCAGCTAGGGAGCAATGGACGAATGAAAGGGAGAAAAGTGAATGAAACAATGATGCCGCAGAGACCAACTGACCTGATTTTAGTCCGAAGATCACCTGTATATAAGCAACTCAAGCAGCATCATTGGACATACTTCTTCTCTCACCATCATGGGAGCATCTAAGGTGAGTTCTGGAACTTACTTTCTCTTTTCGCTAAGGATGGATATAAATGTTCATTGTCTAAAGTGTAAAAAATTGAGGGTAGTTTTTCAAGTAATTATCTACCCTCAAGTTCTCAAACTTTACCCCTTTCGAAATATTTTTTAATAAGCCAGCTGAAGTTTTCGACTGACTATTGTTTTTATTTTCCAAGAGAATTTTCTAGCTGAATATCTTTTTGCAGAATCTCCTTTATTTTTATTCTTCATTTTAATGCTTTAATTAAGGTCATAAAAAATCTGAGGACTTAGTTTAGGCAAAATCTAAAAACAAATGAAGCAAGTATAAAAATATTTCATATTTCATGGAAAAACCGTAGAAAAATGAATATCTGAATTGTGATTACCTTAATTAAACTGCCTTAGTAATTGTTTCTCTATTAATTATGTAATTATAAATTATTAATTAATTTATAAAAACTCATTTTCATTTCTCTTGAGCAAACTTAAAATGCAAAGAATCATTTCAACCCTTTCTTATTGACTTTCTTACTGATTTCTTATTCTGAGTGCTTCTTGTTAGATTTTTTATACATACAGCCTCCATTTACAGTAATCATTAGCGAAAATCAAATTAAGAAGTAATTACGTTTTCTACTGGAAGAAAGTTCAAGCGCATTTTATCCCATCAGTGATCAAGCGAATGAGACAGTTAAATTCTGGTAGTTTATCGTTTCATGGAGTTTTCTAGATTTTCCTCTACCCTTAATGTTGTAGAAACATTAGGTTGTTTTGAAACAGGAGATGTGAAAAATGTGCAATGCCGTCGTCAGGACTCGATCCTGGACCTTTCGAATATGCGTCGAGTGTGCTACCGTTACACTACGAAGGCATTATGGAAAGGAGGGAGAAATTGGCTTATATACTCGCTCTTTTAAAGGGTGACTGGATATTAGGAGACCCAATCGCCAAATCCTGGCGGTGAGAAATTATCATCAACCACCTTTTAGTTCGGGCTTCTTTAGGTTATCTCGAAAGGGAAGACGTGATAAATGGGCAATGCCCTCGTCAGGACTCGAACCTGGACCTATCGAATACGCCCCGAGTGCAATTTTGCCAGATCGTGCGATTTTTTGCAAATTTGCGATTTTGCAAAATTTTTGCGACATCCATCATTCTCTCGTGCTACATTTTGTGACTGGAAAGATTTTTTTAATATATCGTAAAATGCTTTTATATTAAAATAATGTATCAGTTAAAATAATTTAAATTAAAAAAGAACAGTTTATTTACGCCTTAAATATAAGTTGGCATCCGGCAATCTTGTTTACATGTGGGCTTTCCTTTTCAAGGCTGCACAGTCTGACACCAGTATAACAAGAAGGAGGTAGGAGAAGGGAAAAAGCCAAACAAAAAGAAAAAAAAAATCTGCCTCTCACCTTCCGCTCCTCGATCCCCTGCGTTTTGTTTTTAAGTCAGTCCCCCCCCCTAGTTCTATGGTGATAACGAATTGAGCAAAAGAACTTGCAGCTTGCGCACCATATGTTGGGTACACAAGCAGAGAAAGAAATGAAATTCATTTTCCTGATTATTATTATTATTTCCTAAATATTACTAAGAATTAAGCGATGGAAATGACTTAAAAATCAAAGCAACGTCATTTTTCTAAATAACGACACAAATAAATTTAACAGTGAAAGAACAAGACTTTCTTAATCAGAATCTGAAATGAATCCACCACGCAGAACGGAAATCTCACTGAAAAGCATTCCTCAATTGAACTAACTGTTCACAATTAAGCAAAAAACAACAATGAATTAAACAAATTAACTGCCAACTCAAATAATTTAATACAAAAGCGCTAACAATTTCAACTAGGGGAATCTCTTAAGAATGGATATGCACAAATTAGTTTACAAATAGAAACCTAAATTAAATGAGAATTAATTAAAAAAGAAATGGATATTTATATAATTGAGAATGAGCAATATAGTTTTAAATTGTTTCGTTAAAGATAAGATAATGTAATTAAAAAGATTAAGAATTGAATACAGTCTGTAACTTATGCAACCAACAGACAGTACGTTTATGATGACGTCATAGGTCATGTGAGTCCCGAAAATCACTTGATCTCTGACGTCATTTGCGATTTTTGCGACTTAAGTCTTCTTTTGTTGAAAGATTTCTGGCAACACTGGCCGAGTATCCACCTTTACGAAACGAAGGCATACTGGAAGGAACGAGAAAATATCTTATAATGTAAATACAACTTAGCCTCCAAGGCTCCTTAAGTCTGTGCTGGTTAAATCGAATCATATTCAGTAGTTAAACAACTTAGAAAAGATTTATTATGCTTCAAGCATTATTATTTATTACTTTTTAGGCGTTGTTAATCATGCTAATTGTTTTAAATTTTGAAATAAAATCCAAAACACTATTTGTGGTAATTTTAATTCATACTTCATGAAAACGGTATCGGCGGGCAATTTTAATTAAAGAAAACAATGACGAAAATATTACTTAGCTTATGTTTTATTCTCTGGTATTTTTTTAAATTAATAACTAGATTATAGTTTTAAATTAGTTTTAATTAATTTATTTTTCCTGGTTTTTGATTTAGAAAGTCCTCCACGAAGGCATCTCTCCCCTTAGGCAGAGAGCCCTAGTGTGCTTTGCCATAATTAAATAAACCAAAAGCAAAACCAAACCTGATTTTTGACTATCGTATCGCCCTATCAAAATATGATCTCCCCTAAATGATGATCCCGAAATTCTGAGAAGGTTTTACAAGGGGAGAAACATCTTTATAAAATAATCTCTCATATGCGAGCCTGTTATAATGAAAAGCGTTTCGCAAAACGTAATAAATAGTTTTAATAATCTCAAAAAGTAATAATAATTTTACAAGTAATAATTAAGTAATCGAAATAACATTCTTCAATTTCGCCTCAATACCTATGTTTTTTTCGTAAAGTAAATGCTAAGAGATAACTAATAAAATAATGCAGTTTTTAAATCTTACATGGAGGTAACAAATGGCGAGGAGTTTTAGTGAAGCAGGAGCTGAAGGAAAGAAACATTGCTTATTTTTGGGCCAAAGCAGTAAATAAGTTTTCTTCAGTATTAAATTAAAATAATATTTAACATGTGCTTTGTCTGATGTTTTGTTAGAAAATGATTTGCGTAATCTTTGCTTGCATACATTTTTATCATATGCATATTATAAACAGCGTTATTTCGCATAACTGTAAATGAATGATTGTTTAAAACTTTGACTCCACATCCTAACTGATACTATGAAATGCAAATAGGAGCAAACTATAATATTTATTTAACATGATCTTTGGCTTTTAGTTGCTACAAACCAACAAAGAGTTTTCAACAAACCATAATAATTATTATCTACATAATATTAATCTGCAACAACATTTTCAGGGTAACTGAAAATTATAATTATTGGATTCTTAAATTTATACAACTGTTACCGTTTCAGGAATAATATTATATTCTGGAGAGAAAGACAACTGTTTTCCCTACAGTAATTTTTCTTTGCACTGCACTACATTGGGCAAAGATGTCAGTTTTCAATAATTTAACTCAAAATGTAAATTTTAATTTTGAACAAATATTAACGTGCATTATTAATATTCATCTAATAATGTGTTTTCTGATTAATATCCTATAAGTTATGTGAGACTTATTAAAATTTGTTTTAAAGCTGATTAAATATAGTTGCGATTTTCATTGTGTTAAAAATAAATTGCATCAGCTATTACGTTCATTTTGTTCACAATTACATTCATTTGATTTGTAATTTACTAACTATATTCATTTATTCTGTATCAGTTTTTCACATTTTACTAATTTACTGATTGAATATTTACCCTTTTATTTGACGTTTGCGTTTGAAGCTATCTCGAACTTGTGCTACTACTATTGAGAAATTCTGAAGATTTATTTTCACAGTGTCAAGTTATTTTCCTACTCCATATATTTCAATGAAAATATTATTTCATTACTTGATTTTATTATTAATTGTAAAATACTGAGCCATGTAAGAAAATGCTGCGTAAGGAAAATAAACCGATAACTTCGAAGAATGGTCAACTAATAAGTATATATATCTTGTATTTCAGAAGTGGGTGGCTTGGGCCACGTTGAGCTGCTTGGTTCTATCCGTTTCTGGAGGATATCTTAGTCTCGGTGGAGGCGGAGGTGGCTACGGAGGCGGTGGCGGTGGAGGATACGGAGGAGGTGGAGGAGGAGGTTATGGAGGCGGAGGAGGTGGAGGATACGGAGGCGGCGGAGGAGGAGGAAAAGGAGGTGGTGGAGATACCATCTTCATTGCAGTACCCATTCAGTCTGGTGGTGGAGGACACGGTGGAGGCGGCGGTGGTGGATACGGAGGAGGTGGAGGAGGGGGCTATGGAGGTGGCGGCGGAGGCGGCTACGGAGGTAGCGGTGGAGGTGGCTACGGAGGTGGTGCTGGAGGAGGAGGAATAAAAATTATTTCTCTTGGTGGTGGTGGAGGAGGAGGAGGAGGAAAAGGAGGATACGGTGGCGGTGGCGGAGGATACGGAGGAGGTGGCAAAGGAGGCGGCGGATACGGTAAATATATCTAAAATGTTTTTTATTGAAAGTTAAAATATTTGAAGAAATTAAATTTAATAAATATATATGTTACAGATAAAATTAATATTTTTGAAATCTATATGTTTTAACTTGTAAAAGATAAGCCTACATTTTTCTCTTTTATTATTACAATCAATTGCTCTTAACGCAAATTTTAATGTAGGAGAAAATATAAAAAGTAAGATAAATTAAAATTTTCATGTAAAAATGCCTTCTGTTCTTATAGTATACAGATTTAAGGAATTATCTTCTTGAATATAAAATTTGTGATAAGGATAAAACTATAGTTTCGTGTTCCTGAAGCATACTTTCATATTTATTAGTATTATATAGCCAAACAATAAATGTAGTTTCTGCATATTATATAACTTCAAACTAATCTAGTATTTTTTCCTTTGTAAAAGAATATTCACCCAAGGCTAAAAATATTGCTGTGTCTGTAGGTGGAGGAGGATATGGAGGATCCGGAAGCGGAGGATATGGAGGAGGATCCGGGGGAGGAGGAAAAGGTGGAGGAGGTGGTGGAGTAGCCATCGTTGGAATTAGCCTTACTAGTCTCGGAGGCGGAGGACACGGCGGCGGAGGAGGAGGCGGAGGTTACGGTGGCGGTGGAGGAGGAGGATATGGAGGAGGATCCGGAGGTGGATACGGTGGTGGAGGCGGATATGGCGGCGGATCCGGAGGTGGATATGGTGGTGGATCTGGAGGCGGAAAAGGTGGAGGTGGTGGAGGATATTGGTGAGCCACTTCTGGTAAATTTATAGTTTAATATATAGGAATATATAGTTGAATTGTAATGTAAATTGTATGCAGAAATTTTAATGCAAATTACACAAAAATACGATTACTTTAGCGTGCATGGTGCATAAAGTTGCAGAAAATATAGACGAAACTTTCGTTTGTTTTGTGCAAGTAAGATTTTAAACAATTAGTTTATTAGAAAGTACTTTGACGCGTTCTCATGCAAAAATAAATAAATGAAAAATTAAAGATATTTAAAATTACTTGTATATAAAAAGACATTGCGTAAAATTATATAAAATTAATCACACATTATACAAAAAGATCAATTGTTTTAATGTACCCACTGTTCAGTTAATGTTAATTTAATTTATGTAATTGATGCAATTTATGCAATTTTAAAATTGCTTAATTTTCCATTTAGCATTTTCGAAGCTTATGATTTCCTTTGTGTTCAAAAGTCGATAAAAAATGATCCTCAACTAAGAGAATCTCTAATTCAATTACAGATGAAAAATGAATTAAAAGAATTTCCGAACGTAAGCAATTCTTTAAATGAAATTAAAATTCGAATCAAATTATAATGCTTACAGTAATAAAAAGGCTTTTAGATGACATATTCGTATTATTATTGAAGGGAAAAATCCATTCTTTTCTTCGTTTTGTTCTTATTGAATTGCTTTCAGTAAAAGATTATGCATTAACAGTTATATAGCGTTGCACGTCTTTAGCTCAAATGTACATGAACCAGTTTTTTGTGCTAAATACTAAATGACAGTAATTTTTTGTTAACACTTTTGTTGACTAGTGCATGGATAATTTTATTCGATCATTTACAAAAATCGTTTACCTGACTTATATAAAGTTATATGGGTATTTATTATCTGAAAAAAAAAAAAAAAGAAAATTTCAGTATTTTTAAAATTTAATATTACAGTTGTGTATATATGTTTTATTAATCTGCAGTGTTCAATGGAAACATTTCCTTCATTTAACACATCGTTCGCAGCAAAATCTATTTTAAAGCAAGAACGATAGAGGTAGATCCTCAGCTGTAACGGTGATTCCAATAAACATAACACTATGCTATCATTAATAGAGCAATCAACTTTGGACTCATCTAATGCAATAATAAATTTATTACTTTTAATCTGATATAAGTAATGCGAAGGATAATATAAAGATTACTTAGTTTCTTTAAAAGAATGACAGGGAATTAATTAAGAATTTAAATTTTCGGGTTCAATACTCTACTGTTTCTCCTGCATTAAATTTAATTCTTGTCATTGTTAAGTGCATATTAATGTTATAAAACTTCAAAAACTTGACAACAACTTTCTTTTCCAGAAATAAATTAAAATGAAAAGCAACTCCTCCTATTGGAAAGTATATGTCCTTCATGGCGAACGGGTCTCGTATCAACACTCCAACCGTTTCACTCATCCCGGAAGTTCGGCCATCTGCGTCAGTGATATGCCCAAGCGAACAAAACTGTATCAAAGTTAACTATGTTTGTCTTTCTTCTGTTTATCACTTCATGATTCTTTGAAGTCCATGTAGTCATGAAGTGCAGTTGTAAATACTTCTGTTGAAACACTTTTTTTATTTATCATTTGGACTTTCACGCATTTTGAATGATTCGAGTAATATTTTTTAAAAAATAAAATGGGATCAATCCAGGACTAAATTAGAAAGGCAATCAAACAAAATTTTAAATTAACAAAGTTGTTCTTTTCTTCTGTCTATCTCCGTGTAGTCCTTTGAAAAACGTACAGCAATAAAGCGTGATTTGTAAATAATATTGAGAGTGTATTTCATTTATATTTTTAATGTTCAGTTTTACATCATGCATTTTTACTGCAATAGAAAAACAAATTATAAACATTAATTAATAGATTTTGCAACTAAAACTGCCTGTTCCAATAATATAGCACATCAGCTATTTACACCTGAATTCAGTTAGAGCTATAAGTTTTTTGAAATTATTTTCTATCGATTTAAATGAAAAATACTATTATTATGAGGGAGAAATTCTACTTTTTCTTCTTCTGGAAAGTGAGATATGTTCTGCTTGAAAATACTCCTATCTATCTCAAGCGCAATTGCCCTTATATTTAGCAAACACATACACATTCTTATATCTATTTCATATGTACTCTTTATTATTCACTTCTTTATCGCTGTAAAAACTGCTTGCACTGCGCATGCTCATTTAATAATATAATCCTCGGAACGTCATCAAATAAGTATTAACAAATTATTTTGAATTTTAAATTTAATGATGTTTATTATCTTTGTTTCGGGGGGGGGAAGAAATTTAAAAACAATCAATTTTTAATTTTTTACAATTTTTTATGAAACAAATTTCTTCAATAATCAATTATAAGTAGTAAGCGAAATAATTCTGGAAATTAATTAATTTAAACAATTGTTTATAAAAAATTTCAATTATTAACATTGGCAGGAAAACGGTTAAGAAGGCGTAATTATATCATTTCAACATAACCATGAATCTATAGATCATTATTTACAGAAAAAGGCACTTAAGTATTTGGCATGCATTTGGACTTAAAAATCAATCTAATAATGATTTCTGTATAGTAATTATGATACATTCATCTGACATTACATACATCTATTTCTTTCAACCTAGCAAAGAAGGTTGAAAATTTCTAAGAAATTATTACATATTAGTGTGAATACAGTATTAAATGTAGATTCGTAGCTTCCAAGGAGTTGTATGGCAAACTTCAGAAGGTAATCCTCATAAATCATGAAGAAAGAATAAATCACGTAATATTCATAAGCAAAGAACAGATTATAGTCTTTCTAAATAATTAATTATATAGCTCACGATATATTAACCATGGAACTAAGAGAGATTGGTGCAATTATTTTTTCATTACTACATTTAAATGCTTTTAATTATCAAATTTGGGCATTCGATAGAATGCGCAGATAAGTGTAATATAGGATCCAAATGAATGAATTAAAATGGAGAAAATTACACACTCTGTAGATAATATACTGAAGAGTAGAAAATATTTTTTCGGGGTGATAGTCAGCTTTTAATGAGCTTCTAAATGCTTTAGAAGCTAATTTGCTGTATAGATACTACTCAGAAATTCTTAGATAAAAACCAATGTATATTATGTATTTTACACCATTAAATTGTATTTATCAATATACAGAATGAAACGACTAATCTAGGAACTAGCGTATTTAAAGTTCTACAGTATTTGATAGTGCTGAGTAGTACGTAAACAAAGAAATTTAATGATACTACGTAATATGAAAACAATTTTTTATCAAGGCTACTTTTAATACATTTGGTTTATTTGGTTTATTAGAAAGTAACTCAGGATCGAAATAGAGAACATTTAACACTAGGTTTATGGATATTTTTGTATACTTTTATTTATGGATAAATATATATTATTTATATTTAGGGATAAATATATATTACTTATATTTATGGATAAATATATATTATTTATATTTATGGACTTCTTCGTCAAATTAACGGGTATAGCAAACCACGTATTTTCTTAAAAAATTATTAGTTTAATTTTAAAATACTCACAATCTTAACACTAAAGTGTTAAGTTTGTAAGAGTTTTAAAATTAAATTCGTCATTCGTCAAATTCACTGTCTTGACAAATTTGTACTTTTTGTTTTATTGGTTTAAAAACCGTTACGGTAATTTAAGTGTTAACAGACTTACCGGAGTTTGTACCGGAGCAATCTTCGCTGATACTATTCCATCTATCAATTCAATATCTCTTGATGAATTAATCATGCTGAATAAAAAAGAGTATTTAGTCAAAAGAAAGTAAAAGTAGTACTTTGATCTAATTCTCTAATAATATTGCTAATATAATATTCTAATATTTTCTTCTCGATCGTATTTACTCGCACTAACTGAAACATTTTCTAGCTCTAGCGAACTGCGGGCTCTTGCTCTAGAGGGCAATGATATTGGGTTCGAAGATATCGAAAGATATTTACGTTGAATTATGATGTTTGTTTAATATCTACGTTCTAACTGTTTTTATATTTGCCACCAAAAATAATTTCGTAAATAAAAACGGTTTATTACTATTAAATATGAAACTAGCTTACCCTTCATTTTGACAGGTATCCGTAGAGATGGATTTAGATCCGTAGAGATATCTGAAGGAGAAATAAATTTGAGTCGATAATTGCCAACATAAATTAGAAAACTATAAAAATAATGGTTTTTGTAATTTTGTTCATGAAATCTGAAATCCGTCAAAATGCCGAGTTCCGTACATTTAGTGTTAATTAAAAAAAGGCGTTTGTTGCATAAATTTAATCATTAATATAGTCCCCATCAATGCTTGCGATACAGCACTCGAACGTACTGACCAAATCATCAGAGTTCCGTCTGCATCAAATGCATGCAAATGAAATTCATAAGTATGATTTCACGAATATGGAGTTTTATAATACATTATTTCCCTATGAAAAATAATTGATAAAATGTTAGCTCAGTGAAGTTTGAAAAGAAAGGCCATATTATCGAGATTATATTCGCTGTAAACATTTTGATTAAAAATTCGCTTTAATGGCTTTGATAACTTTCTATGCAATCGAGTCTTAAAAAGCTAAATTCATACATTATTTTACTAACAATCTTCTGCTTCACAAGGCTTATTCGTAGTTTCTTTTTTTTTTTTTTTTTTTAGTTTTCTTTTTTTTTTTTTAAAAAAAAACGCTTTTTTTTTTTTTTTTGTTTTTTTTTTTTTTTTTTTTTTTTTTTTTTTGGGCTATACTGTAAACATTTAAAATTTTGTTTTATATTTATTTTAATTTTTCATGCATTCCATGTTTTAAGGAAACGGAAATGCTTAAAACACTTAATATAAGAAAATGTAATTTCTTCTGTTTTCAGTAAAATACTTAATATCATTTGCGCTGATGTGGAAACATTTTAACAGAAAAAGTAAACAAAAAAATTTTTCGAAGATTGTACTTAGTATTCAGTATCACTAACCTCTATAACTCATTCATGTTCTTCAGGGAAACATCCTTCTGTCCTCAATTTCGAATACAGATTTTAAACTTCGTTCTGAGTAGGTAATAAACATATATTGCTAGTGCTTTATCACCAACAATGCTTACTGCTTTTGGAAGAAATAAAAAATCAGAGTTAAATGATAATTAATTTTAAAATTTTTGTTCTTCTCAGCCAAAACAGAAAAAAGACAGATGCATTCATGTGCTAGGTTATAAAACATAAACATCTGAACTTAAAAGTGAGTTTGTGAAATTTAGGAGGTGGAAAGTACATATTTCACAAGCATCTTATTATATTCAGATTAGTTGTTAATGGGAAAAGAAATCACTAGAAAAATTTCGACTACGTTTTATTCTATTAAACTCAAGAAGATGTGTAAGCTTCTTTTTGAAAACTCTAACGAAGAAAACCACTACAGCGGAATCAGTTACAGCAACTTGCCTATTATTAATGCTGTTAAAAATCTCAAAACGTTTAATATTGTCAATTGCTATGACTTCGAGAAACTATACGCATCTCTACCACTTCAAAAAAATCTGACCAGTCTTTTAGAATTTACAGAATTTTTTCCAGACATGCTTAATATTTTAGATTGTAATAGTTGTTAAAATTACCTCAGTTATTCGCTCTTTCATAATTATGTTTCATTCCAAGATACTATATTTCTATAAGTTAGAGGTATCCAAATAGGCACAAATTACTTACCTCAACTCTCCAATCTATATTTATTTTCTAAATAAATCAAATTTTTTCTTTAACTAACATACAATAATTTATAAACTTTTACATTCTCCTATAGAAATATTGATGATATTATATCTTTAACAATTTTAATCCCATTAAAAACTGAATGCAAGACCAACTCAGATCAATTAGAAGTAAATTATCTAACTTTATGATATAAGAAGAGATTTTAGATTCTACAATAAAACTTACAAACTGAGTTTCTTACGTTTCTCAAAACATTTTAAGCAATAATATTAATAATCAAGTAAAGCGTGTTAAGAATGTTTATACTCATGTAGAACCGCAACGAAAACAAATTTTAATACTTATACGCACCTTAAACATAATCAAGTTCCATTAACTTTCACTAATTTACATTTAAGGAAACTGGAGATCTCTACGACCTGGGAAGTTTTATCTAAATATATGAAGGCCATTCTTAAACTTTTATTTTTAGGAGGACTGGTACAGATGCTTAAGAAACGATTTCGCAGTTTACAAATATAAATATTATTACTTTTGTAAAATTTGTATGTTATTTCTTTATATAACTATTCTTTCTTTGATTAAGAAATAGACAATGTTTCGTTTCCTTAGTTACTATATTGTTTGTCGATCAGCGTGAAGAATTTTTCCTTTGTAATATTTATTACTTAATTTTCATTATTTTATTAAATTAATTTTTTTTAATGTTCCTTTTTTTATTTCAATATTTTTGCCAGTACTACATGGCGAGGATACAAATTCACCAAAAGCAACCCTGACTGTATATTCCTTAGTCACTTCTCAAAAATTCCAGATTCTAAATGTCGTTTGTTTTACCAGAGTTTGAACGAGTTGCAAGTTTTGGCTTTGTATTAACAGTCATAATTATTTCTTTCCTTTGTATATAACAACGCTAATTTCAATTTATTATCAAAGTATAAGGAGATTTTAAAATTTTAGGCGTTTTATATTTTTTAATCTATGTTTTAATATTTATTTCAACTTTTCACTATTTGCATGTACAGGAATTTTTTTCTTTCTTTTCTTT